GCTAGTGCATAAAGCACAAAAGCTTGCTGAGATGTCTCATCAAGGGGATACCATCCTGCACAAGAAGATTGTGTGCCACGCACGGCGGCATGAGTACTGGTTTTTATACCCTGGACAGACTATGGCTTATGAGAAGACACACACAAACAAACTGGTACTTAACTGGAAAAAATGTCGTGACATTTCTGAAATGTAAATGCAGACAAGACCAGCGGCGCTCGCAACGTAAATTTATGTCATGTAGAATTTTGCAGATTTCTGGCCAATTACTGCATTTATTTGATGTTTATTGCATTGAATTAAAAGATAAAAATGAATATGAACCACTCATTTATTCATTTATTTATTATAAGCATAGATGTTAAAATTATGCTTAAATAAGGGAGTTTTTTTCTACTCGCTATCTTCACCGTTCACTTTTTGTTTTGTTTCGCTCTGGATGATGGACATTTGCCTAATACCCCGTACAGACTATGGCTTATATCATGTAATATAGGATGTCTTGCAATGAGCACTCATGCATAGGATTTTCAGTGAAAACTAGATGTATGAGTGCTCATTGCAAGACAGCCTATATTACATAATATAAGCCATAGTCTGTCCGGGGTATAAAGCACGCTAGTAAAAGTATGGAAGACTGTCACCACAAAACTGAAAAAAATAGTCCAATCGAGCAAGCAGTGCATTTTGACGGTTTGGATGTCGCCCACACTTTTACTTTTTTTTCCTTGATTTGTCTGTCGATATTGTTTTCCGTAATGAATACCAATGCTACCGACGCCAGGGAGGCAGCTCCCACACTTGGACCCTACCTATCGACCCACCCGACCGGGTACCAACGACTTCCGTGATCATAGATTTTATGCCTCAGCAAATCCCGGCGGCGCCGACTGGGATTAAACGCAGGCCCTTTGGGGTGAGAGGCAATTACGCTTACCACTATACCACCGGCGCCATTATACTTTAACTTGAGGACTTTACATTTGCCACCTCTGACCACGCCTGAAACGTGTGTTCCCAGTGTCAAGAGCTGGAAGAGGACCTGCTGATGGAGGAGCGAGCAACACATCCAAACTAAAGCATAACACGAATTCCAAGGAGGAAGCTGGTAAGGTATCACATCACCATTCGCATGTGCTGTAATCAATCTTTTTTCAATGAGCTGAAGCCAAGCTCATGGATTTCCATCTCGCTACCTGATGGAAACAAACCTTGATAAAAGGAATTGGTTTTGGACGACTTTTTTGTCAAGACGAGCAAGGAGAGCAGCAAAAGTGATCCTTCCCAATGTGTATTACGTTGCCGAACTCGAGTCAAATCTGATTTCCGTTGAAAGAGCCGAAACAGGGGATTTTATTTGATTGTTCATAAGATTTTCTTTTAAAATTATTTCTCTTCACAGAGTTCTTTACATAATTCTTCAAAAATGAATTTGTGATTCTCTCTGGGAGTACTTAGAAAATTTCTAAATTTCAGTTTAGAAACAGTGCAGAACACTCCAAAAAATCATAAAATTCGTCCTTCGATTAGGTTCTCTTCGAATTCCTTCCTTCCTTACATTTTTTTAAAATTCGCTTGTATTCTCCTTAGAATTCCCATGCAATATTCACTTGATATTTTTCTTAGAATTATCTTGGGGTTTTCGTCTACTCTTCTGAAAAATCAAATGGCATTCTCCTTAAAATTCTCAAGAAATTCATTCCTAGAACCCCTTGAAATTATCCTCGGAATTTCCATAAAACCCTTAAAACTCGATTCCGTTGGTATTTTTCACGGAAACTCGAATCCTCTCTCATCTTCTCACCGTGGAATTTTCCACATAGTTACTTAAAAAACTACAAGAGACAGTCCTATGGGGTTGAACGAACTCTTGACGTAGGACTACGCTACTAAATGTAAACTATTTTGAGTAAAGTAATGCGATTCATCGAAGAATCCATGCGGGTTTTGCAGCAATATTATCAAAATTAGCTCTTCAATAGTAAAATTAATATTGTCGCCCTGAAAAGGACGGTTTTGATTTGATGCGCATGGTCGTCGAGCGAGCGGCAAGCAATTCATGCCTTTTGTATACTTAGACCACAGGGTAACCTGGATATTAGACACAATTCCACTCTGGTTGATGATAACGAGCACTTTGATTAGTTCTTCGTCGTTACGGAAACCCAACAGCACTTGATAAGGGATAATGTTTGTCTTCTTTTTTCCTGCCAACTCAGATATTTCAGCAGCCCACTAAAATGGGGCACCAGTACCAACAGGCTCGGCAAACAGTGGATGCTACCGACCGGGATCTGCAGTTCCGCGAGGTTGAAATAGAACCTCTTCTGTGGGTGGATTATTGCTGTCTGTTGAATAGAATTGAGGCGAACCGTTCCCCGCGCGATCCAATGTAAAAATGAGTGCACGGCGCTGACAATGTTAGTTGACTGCAGTCAGGCCAAAAAATGGTTGGTAAAGTATATTGAAGTCTTGGGGTAGGAATGCATGCTCGTGATTCATTTACACGATGGTTTAGACGATGCTTGACGTTCACCAATTTTTCTATAGTATATTGTTGAAAATCAACGGTTTTACCTATCGGAATTGGTACGTAAAGAAAATTCCGATCGATTGAAGCAAAAATATTGAAAATGTATCATAAAATAGCCGAGTCATAATCGTTCCAAATCTGACCACTTTTCGTTACATAGTCGCAAAGTGTACCCCCATATAGAAAATACTCTAATCTAATCTAATCTAACACCAACACAGCCAGTCCTTGTGCATTCTGGAAAATGATGGATGCATCCGAGGGGGACGACTCTATTTACGTTGCAGGAAAGATTGTGTTTTGCTGTGGCTAGCTGCGTGCACGCTGAATACATAGAAAGAAGATTAATGACGATTTTGAAGATTTCCTGCAAAAAGATGCAAGTAGATGCGAGAACTGAAAGAAGAGTTTTCGAAGATTGATTCGCTAGTGTGAAATTTTTTGAGCATCTAGTATTGAGATTTAGATGTGTCGCCCCCCTCGGATGCATCTTCACAATTTTTCTTGCCTATTTGATCAGCATCCGAGATGCGCAAAACATATCAAAATTGCCAGGACTACTGTGCGGCATTTGAAAGGCAAGATGCTTTAGAAACATAATCCAAACATATTTTTTTTAACTTTATTAGCGAGATTATGAAACATGGACATCTCTCGTTCCTTCCCTTTTTTCTTGATTTTTTTTTTCCGTCGATTTTGTTTTCCGTACTGAGTACCAATGCTACCGACGCGAAGAAGGTAGCTCCTCCCACACCTGGACCCCACCTATCGACCCATCACATCAACTCATGGACCGGGGGGGGGGGGGGGGGGGCAACGGCTTTACTTCCCTTCCGAAGGAAGGCGTGATTAGAGATTTTATGCCCCAGAAAATCCCGGCGGCGCCGACTGGTATTGAACCCAGACCTTTTGGGGTGAGAGGCAATCACGCTTACCACTACACCACCTACACGCTGTTCCTTTCCTTTGCTATTTATAAAATAGAAAATAGATGAGCGAAATAAAAATAAAGTGGGAAGAAATCGAAAACGAAAATTAATAAGGAAGAGGGAACCCTAGTATGAAACCGAGTATAATTTATACAATAGAAAGAGGTTAGGTAGATCATAAATCACCGTAACGCACCTTCGAGAGGCGGTCTACCCGTATTATGGATTATAAAATATATTATAATTTTAATAATATAAATTTGAGTGTATGTTATGATTCAAATAGAATATGCTATTGTAAGAGATAACCCCACGGCTGAAAATCTGCAATAATCTAAATGAAGATAAATAATAATCTTATACAATTTTTTAAATCATGGGTCAGCATCTGGTAAATTTTACACATTCATTGAAATAAAATACAAATAGATAAATAAAGATAAAAGAACTACCTCACCGAGTCTGAGCAAGTGAATCTGTAGCAAGCTGCCAAACCATTTTCAGCGCTGTAGTCCAAACCGTGACGGTTCGCTTGATGATGATCAACATCCGGTCTGACTGTCTGATAAAGCTTGAATAAAATGCCATCAATAGAGTCCTCTATTGGCAGGTTCGGCACTCCGACTTGCTCCTCCTTAATGTGACCGGGAAATCGTGGGTCCGATGGAGGTTTTACTTCGTTTTGGAATCAGATGCAGCTCTTGCAGGACGGCTTCTATGTAGGTGAACTCACTGTTATAGACAAAACTCTTCCGGGCAGCACTCCCCCCTCCAAAAAATTCACTACGTCTTCCAAACAAAAAAAAAAAAAGCGACTCGTGACTTCGATTTCCCGGTACACTGGTCGCCCTGAACGATGTGGTCTATTCAGGTATTCGATCAAAGCGGATTTTCAATGCAATTTTTTGGAAAATCTGTTTCGTTCAAACCTTTTTTTCGAAAACGCATGTGGTTTTTTTAAACTGAGCGTAGATTGTATATATGCTTGATATTTGCAATTAGTAGAGTTGAACTATATGCGTTGTTTTTATACACCTTCCATATAAATATGACCAACTTTGCCTCTATAGAAGGCCGTCAAATTTACCACCCTAATTAATAAGCCCTGGCAGTAATCCGGGAAAGTTTTCTCTTGTTACGAGTTTCTAGCTGTCGTGACCAGTGTCATTAAATAAAGTCTGTGCCTATATATTGCTATCAGGTAATATGATGTAACATCCTTACGGTCGTTTGTTTTCATTTTTTCCTTTTTCTTAAGTGTTTGTCAATTCTACCACCACGTTAGAGGGTTATTTATGTGTATCGAATAGAATTGGAATGCAGCTGCACCGTTGAATTTCATAAGGTTTGTAATTGATCGACTGAAATAATTTATGACAAAACAAAAGAGCGTTGTTTTAAAACAAACAAAAAGAAAAGCATACGAGAATTATGCGTATCAACGACCAGCGCTGGCACTTCAATGATAAATAAGGAAAAACAAATGGCTACATCCCGCTCTATAAAGGAAGTGAAATTGAACGAAAAGAACAAAACCATAATTAATCTACACTTTATTTATAATAAATCAAATCATTAATTAACAACGTATTACGATTATATGAGTAAAATAAATACATTTTTTACTTTGTTTTCACTTTTCCGTTATGATTCTGCACTGTGATCGGCCTTCATTGGATGCGGCTCACATTATACTTTTGTTGTTTTTGTTTTTTTTTTGACAAGTGCGTGATAGACGTTTAGTTGGCTGTTCTTGTTTTGCAATGACTAAACTTGTTCCTTTGTTTCCTTTTCCTATCCCATCATGCATGTTAAGGATTTCTTTTTATGTAGGAGTCTACATTGTTATACATATTTCTTTTCAATTAATTTGCATTTTATATCATTTTTCTTATCACTTTCTACACTAAGATCTAAAACTCACGTTGAAATCCATGAATGAGTCCTCTATACTTTTTTTTAGTTTTTGTTTCAACACTATTTCTGTTTAATATATTTCTGCCCGTTTTTTGCTCAAGAAACATAAAAAACTATTAAAAAATGAACAGACACAGACTACTATTGGGAGTACGAAAGTGACGCATTGGAGGGAGAATAGGAGACGCGCAGAGGGGACAACGTTTCTGTATACGTAAAGATTCATTCTCTAAGGGTGCTTCTTGTTCGTAATCAAACAGGAAGCAAGGAGATAAACAACGTAGGGAGGTGGGTTGATTAGGAAATGAAGTATTTAAAAACGGGATAAGATTTTCTACGATTTTGTTTTTGTTTGGTTGGCGTTCTAATTTATTCCGTTAATTTGTGAATTATCTATAAAATTCGTTCATAGGAATTATTTCACTATTCTTCAACGATTCTGGCTAGGACATCTTTAAGCAATGGAAAAACAAAAAATCTGAAACGGTACAGTGACGCAATTTAAACAATTGAATCAGGGGACGGCACAGTGCAGGGCCGTAACCGTGATACATTTGGAATCTTATCGAAACTTCGCGTTCTCTATTGTCTGTGAAATGAATCAGTTTTGGATATCCTTCATAACATTTGCTTTGGATTATTTGCGATTTTTTTTCCAGAAATTCATAATGAAATCACCTAAAAGTTGACGAAATTTAGAGGAACAAAAAAAAAAGCAGAATGTAAACCTTTTCTGGAACGTTCCAACAAGCTTTACGTTACGGCTTTAGACCAGTTCAGCATTCCGTTTCAGACTTCTTTTTTTTTATTCCATTAACAAGTCCATTAGCAATCAGCCGAGTTAAAGGAGTGCCCGGTATGTACGTATGTCATATGGTTCGCATTGCTCAAACTCTGAAGTTCGCAGCTTGTTGTATTCGGTTTCCAAATACTTTTGGGTCGAGTAGTCGTGTAAGAATGTATGTATGTGTTTGTGTGTTATGCTGCGTGTATTTATGTGAGTTCTTGTTTTTTTTTCTGTAAAAATTATCATGCATATTACTAAGTCTGTTATTACTTCCTTTCAATCGTCAGCTTTCATTATGTTTTTGTAACTAGAATGTTCGTGATAATTAAAAACAACTACTTTTCTCTGTTGTATCTACCATATCGTCATCTTTTGTTTGAATCTCTTTCCCACTGCCCGCATTTGTATATATTATCATATAAAGAACATGCCATTCTTTTACCTCCAGCCATACTTTCGACATGGACGAAACTAACAAACGCACGAATAACGAACACAAACCATGCCTCCATATCAGTTCCAAAACGCAAAAGCTGTTGCTTCAAACTTGAGTTGATTTTAGTCAATGTTTTTCGGTAATGCTAATGGAATCGATATGTCGGTATGGTCAGTTTATTCCACACACGTAAGTTTTGTTTCCACGTGGTAATGTAGCGTGACGTTTACCATTTTGACGGTTACTTTCGCATATGATAGTATAAATTGTTTCCTAGTAAATCTGATGGCTTTCGTGATTTCAGCTTGAATAGGAATAATTTTGATAAGATCTACACGCGCTAGTACCGCCCGTAGCTCAGAACATTCATAAAATTTATAGCGTGGCTTATATTAAACGAACACTTTAGCAATTGCATCAGCACCCGCACTAGCAATGTACGGTTTCGAAGGATGAAATGCTACGTCCAATATACTTTCGTCAAACTTTTTACGATGTGCAGTGATTTCCTGCACACAAGTTTTGTTGTCCATGTGCCACAGTCGAATGGAGCAATCGTGTGACCCGGACAGCAGATACAACCCGTGCGCATCGATGGCCAAACTAGTGACGGCGTCCAGATGGGCCACCATCGAGTGTATTAACGAACCGGTGGTGTTATCCCAGAACCGAATGTGCCGGTCCTCGTGCGCCGTAATCGTTATCGGTAGCGTCGGATGGCTGATCACTTTGTTAATGTGTTTCCCTACGTTGCCCGTCATTTCCTGACTGGCTTCTAGTTTAACCACTTGCCGGCCTGTTTCCGTGTCGTAGATGATGCAATGCGTACTACTGTATGCAACCACTATTCTATCGGTTTGATCTCGGACGAAATCCACCGACGTTGGAATTCCTTCCGTTTCCGACGTGAATGTAGTGTTCAGTTGTGGAATCTTACCGGAAGGTGTCCACAACTTAACGGTGCCGTCAGCGGAACACGAAACAAGACTATTTTTCGTGTGATTCACTGCTAGACCCCATACGGCATTGGTGTGTCCGTCCAGCGTACATTTGATTACCTCTGGGTCGTAGTTATCGTATGGGTCAATGTTGTAATTCGGTAGGTTCCAACAGTTGATCGCTCCGTCTAGCCCACCCGAGTAGCATTGTTCGCCATTGGGCGACATTGCTAAACACAGCACCGGACCGGTATGTGAACGGAACGTGTAGAGAGGTTCCACGTCAAGACTAGCTGATTTCTTAGCTGGCACGGTTTTCTGTAAATTCCACAGCTTGAGCGTGTGGTCTTCCGAGGCAGTTATCAAAACGGACTCCTGCGGATGGAACGCCAAGGCTCGGACACCATCAAAGTGTGACCGTAGCGTGTATTTGGCGTTCCAGGTCTTGCGATATGGTTCCTTCGCGTTGGATACCTCGTACGTGGAGTCGGCCTCGTTATTGACTGTTAGTTGCGCTAGCTCACCCAACCCTAGCGAAGAGTCCACCTCCTCGTCGCTGGTGATTCCCGGTATCGTGGGGTGGCGTGGTATGGCTGGTTTGTTGTAGCCTGAAATTGTACAAGTTTGTGTTAATTTATAATTTAGAACAACTCATGGAACAGTAACATGCAAAAATTGTGCGAAACAAACATTTGTTTTTGACGTAGAACTACGTCTTTGTCGACTGCAAATCAAAAATATGTGTGGTGAAATAGTGTTAGGTTTTGAACGCTTGTAACTTTGTCATTTATAGATGAACATAAAATCCAAATACGCCAATCGATAGGATGTTACATTACGAATCTGTTGAAATAATTTTTTGTTTTTTTCAATTTTCTAAGAAAAATGTACAAATGATATCTCTGTTTTCATGAAATAAACGATTTTCCCTAACCCAGTCGTCATAATCGAGTAAAATTTGGTTGTTCATCGTTCTGCTTGAAGATATAAAACAACGGTGCTGTCATGCCTCTAATAGAGTGCTGAGGATGGTTCTTGATCGTCCTTTCGACACAAGAATAACAAATTTACATGAAGAGGCAGGCATTGCCAAAATAGATTCAAGAATTATCGAAATTAAGAATAAATTTGCACAAAAATGTAATTTATCAGAACATGCTTTGATAAGCAATTTGTATATAGCAGATTAGGTGTATATAGTAGTTGTAGGTTAGTTACAACTATAACAATAGTAGTTATAAGTAGTCTCCTTTTTCAAATTTAAAACAAACCAATCCCACCAAGGTGGTCATATTTAAAACAGGCCTGATAGGACTAGGAACTGTGTCAACTGGAACTGGATCATGGCGTGACCACCTATCACAATGAGGAAATGAGGAACTTGAAAAAGTTAGACATGCAAAACACCCCCTTCCATCCGCCATGGACAGACATGGATTTATCACTTTATTCCGGGAAAAAATTATAAGCAAACTACAATTATAAGTAAAAGCACAAGTTAAATTCCGTTAATTTTTTACCCGCTTTATAGCCAAAACTTTCAAATTTGAGAAAAAAAATTGCTTAAAAAAGACATACATTCTATTCTGTTGGTGAATTACCAACAACTGACTGTATCTGGTACCTCTATATATGCAATTAGATTAACAAACGAAGTCCAGCCTTTTTTTATATATTCTGCACAAAATATACTTTCTGCCCCGCCCCATTCATAAAACACGGCGGGAAATCCTATTAGGTACGGTTGCATATCGTTCTACTTTAACCTGAAAAGATATAAAACAGCGCTGCTGTCGTGCTTTTGCTCATTACCGCTTCGGACGGTGTGGCACTTGGTCCTGTAACAAGCAGGAATGAACCTTGGGTCCATGCTTGGCATGCACAGTTGTATACACCAACTGCTCATTTGTTACTAACTTTTCACTCAGTTGTTGAAATGTGTTCTTCTTTAAAGTAATTAATCTATCAATAATATCATAGTTTAATATAGATATGCAAAGAGTACGTAAAACTTAAAATTTGAATCAACACCAATGAATTTTTGAACTTAAAGTCCGAGATGTGTAGTGAGCATTTCTCACTTCATTTTTACAACGCAAAAACAAATACAGTTTATTACTAAATAGAATTAAAATCTACGTATACATAACAAGCTTAAACTCTATTCTATCTACTGCTTCAAAAATAACTATGTTTCGTCAACAGTGTGCAAAGTTATTAGCAAATGAGCAGTTAGTGACCAAAACTGTGTATGCCAAGCATGCTTGGGTCCCGTTTCACTAAACCGAAACGCGGAAAAGTTATATGTGCCAAACCAGTTCATGAGTTGATGGGTCGATAGGTAGGGTCCAGGTGAGGATGCTGCCTCCCTGGCGTCGGTAGCATTGGTCCTCAGCACGGAAAACAAATCAAGGAAAATAGTGAACCATAATCGAAACATTGAAATACTTGAAAAATTTAAGACAAAGTATAATAGTCAAAAATGCATGAGATACATCAATTTTGCGTGGTTCTACCACAGAGAACAGACATCCAAGCTTAAACAAATTTTTCGAAATATTAAGTATAAGAATTCAAATTAAAATACGTTAGAAACACTAGCACCGCCGTACGGAATGTTGCGACTCGAGTTATCACTTTTTACGATTGATGAGTAAACTGAACTGAAATTTGGGTTGATCTTTTTGACCGTGTATCCAACTGAACTGTCAAATCAGTTCAAAACAAACAAGACAAAACAACGGAAATTAATTGAGTTCCTATGGAACCATTATTTTCGAATAAAAAACTAAGCTCTTTTACAGTTTCCTGTAGACCAACAACCGTTTTTCGCTCCAATTTTAACTGGGCATAGTAGTTAGGAGCAAAATTGACTTTCTTCAGTGAGGGTGTGAACTCCAATTAGCCCTCATTTAAATTCAGAAAAATGTGGTAAGATTTGAACATTGCTTACTCTGCCTCCGTTCTTCCAGGAGTTCGATACGTGCTGCGTAAAAAAAAACCGCGTAAATTCCGAAATCCGCGTAAAAAAAACAGTTTAAAAAGCGACTCCATTGAATAACGATAAACCGCGTAAATTCTGAAATCCGCAAAAAAATCTGAAATAGCATAGCATAGCATAGCATAGCATAGCATAGCATAGCATAAACCAGGTTGCACAATGTCGTAGGTGGTACGAGCTCTAAACTGTTGTTAAGAAGGAGGCGCATCCTCATCCGTTGCTGTTAGATAGTAATTTGTGATTAATTACTACCTCTTAGATAAAGGATGTGTTTCCCTCCAACAGACCAGAGCTGTCCTGGCCACGTCCTTGCATCTGGTGGGGATGAGGGAGGAATGTTAGTCCGACACTTACTTAAGAGAGATGCAGAGAACTCTACGACCCCTCATAAGTGTCACGGGAAGGGTGGAATTTTGTTAGTAGGGAGGGTAAGCCATAGGATACGCCCAGCCGGCGTTGCTGGCAATCGTTATGTCAAGTATTTAAGAAATAAAACCTGTAAATCATTTATCCGTTGACCGTTGTTGCTGCCCATTACCTAAACATATTATTCAAAACAGTCTTCATATTCCGGAATTGCGATACGTTAACGCTCGATCCTGTTGCTCCTTTGGCCCAAGTAAAAAATCTGAAATCTGCGTAAAAAAAACCGCGTGAATTCCGAAATCCGCGTAAAAAGCAACTCCAGTGTATTTTTATATTGTGTAGCAAATACAACGATACTCTAAGCCCAGGGAAGTCGAGAGAATTTCCAACTCGAAAGAATTGAATACCGTGCCTTTACTGACTAGGCTATCTGGTGGTCTATGCCAAATTTTGTTTAAGATTTTTGCATATTTTTTATTCTGCTTTATATTTTATTTTTGTTGACTTTATTTTTATTTATATATATATATTAATTGAAACACACATACATAATTAGACCAATTTATAAGATTGCAAAAGGTCCCTGTATTTTATATGGACAAATGAAAATAAGAAATCCTTAACTGCGCGGAATTTCCTCCGCCACAGACAAAATTGTTGGCTTTCTCGGTGAACGCTGTATTTGTTGCTTCAGCCTCCGGCGGACATTGCAATGGCCTCTAGAACACTAAAAAATGCTGTTGATTTCCGAATAGATGCACTGTTTCGTGCCAAGCTCAGCGTCAGAATAGACCATATACATCTTTTCGGATTTTGTTTTGGAACCCATGTTTTTGCTCTGAAAATAATTAGGACAGGATGCGTAACGTAAATGTGTAGCGTGACAAGCAATAGAAAACTAGAAATACATACGTTCTTACAGTTAAAGGTGATTTTGACACAAAAATATTGGCATTTACAAGACAAACAAAGAAATCCGAACTCGTTTCTTAGCTCTTTTGCTTCAGCAGATGCAACCTGGCCGATTTCAATTGCTTTATTTTGACTTGGTAAACGTCAACAAACCATTTTTGTGTTACGAATGTGAAGAGTTAGTGTGAAAGGGGATGCAGTGGGCAGGAATTCTGTCTGGGTGTATACAAATTCTAATTTTTATTGAAATAGCAGTGACTAGAGTCGGTGTATAATGAGTCACGCCAAGAGAAAAACAGTTGAACTCGCATCACGGTTTTCGAAGGATTCCCTTTCTTTCACTTGGCAACAGAGGACTTCTACATCAACTTCAAATGACTTCTAGCTAGAACAAAAAATTGCGGCTGTAGTGAATCATTATATCAGTGATTTTGTCAAATTATCTTATCAAACAATAGTAGAAGTTCTCATTACTGATCATTAACAAACGTATCCCATGACAATTTAATGCTCACTGCGTGTTTATGATCATTTCTTCAATTTTATTTTATATTTTATTGCAATACCTTTCGTGGACCATTCATAGCATCGTAATGTTTGTTTACTTTGCACAATAGGTAGCCGGTTTGACAGTTCAATAGGTAGACTTGGCGTGACTCATTATACACCGACTCTAGCAGTGACATCCTGGGAAACAATTTCCGCTAGGATTAGTTGGATTTCCTGGGAAACAGCTAGCATGCTAATCATATATTTCAAGTGCATCCAAATTGATCAACATACATCGAGACTCATAAGATGGTAAGGGTAAACTTGTCCAGCCTAACTTTCTTAGAGCAAATAATAGAAACTGTTTTTGAACTTATTCAATGTGGTCTATATGAGTATCTTGATATGGAGCCCAGACTATACTACAGTACTCAAGGAGGCAACGTATAATATTTTGATTGTGTATGGATCATTGAAATGAAAGCTAAACCTTTTTATAAACCCTAGCATGTTGCTTGCCTTGTAGATAATGTTATTATAATGTTCAACAAATCTCTAACTTGATTGCACATTTCAACTCTGTTTTGTCCTATTGTTACATGTTCTTGCCTAATAATTTTCTTTCTTGTAAATGAAATGGAATTACATTTCTTCACATTAAGTTTAATAAACTTTTTGTGCACCAAGTGTAAAAGTTATTAATTTCTTGTTGAAATACTACGAGATCAGACGTTTCACGAATTTCCAGGAAAAGTTTCATGTCGTCTGCATATATTTAGACATTGAGAATATTCAATATTTGCTCTGCATCGTTTGTTGCGTTTGTTTTGAAAATCTTCGCTGTCACGTACGAGCGAAATGAACAAATGAGTTCATTATAAATCCACGAATACGCTTTTGTTGATATTCACCAGTGCTTGATTATCCAACCCAAAATCGTCAAAATCAAAAGCGATCCTCAAAAGCAAAATAAACAAATTAATTATTTTGAATATTGTCGACTCTAGAGCCTAAAACCTTGATATTATCATCAATTCAGCAAGAAGCAATTATTTTCCATTGATCTGTTTGTAAAAACTAACACGACACGTTCTTCAGCGCTATAGGGTTAACTACCCCATTTCCGGCCTATTAAGCACAACCCGTACTTAGTCTTTCTTAATCTAGCGCAGTTTAGCACCAAACAGAATGTTATTATTACTGATGGCTTTCAAATTTATTTTCCTTTTCCGTACGTACCGTAAGATTTGATAAAGAGGAACCAATCGTTGAGATATTGTCAAAAGTCTAACACTGCTTCTTGACGCCAAACTCGGCCTACGAATTCTAAACTCGACCTAACGCATTGAAACGCCAATGAATTCACTTCGGCCTATCGGATGAAGATAACATTTGATTCGGTCGGAGCGCTTCTTTTGTTTTTGGGAATAATGGGTGCAAACCTTCATATCACGCGTTCTCATTGACTTCCTTCGGTAGCTTATTAACTAAAGTATCGTACCAAACGCATAATTGACTTGTTAACTCTGAAATCATGGATTTATTTGAAGTTTTCTGCTCGATAGGCCCAAAATGGGCGATTAGGCTGAAGTAGTTCTTTACCCTATTTGTGTAAAACGGAAATAATAATTTTGCATGTGATCCTCAAAATCAACCCCCAAGCCCAAGATGAAGGTGAATATTACGGGCCTTATGAGCCGGACATCTGGGCCTTCCTGGGGGAGAGAAGGATCTTCCAGCCAAAATCGTAAGAATCTTACGGTGTCAGTCAGAAGAAACTTTCAGAGCAAGCCTGGAAATAATTCCCAGATGATGTCGGAATGCCAGCGAATCCAAACACAAAAAGACAAAACGCTTGCTACTACTGCCACGATAAACTCTCTCTGTAATATGGCTTGATCGGAGTAGTAGAAGGCTGCTTTGTTGCAATATACATGGTTGAGGACATAGCTTGATTGAAATCGAGAAAAGAGATAAAACAAAAATTTCCATTAACGCACGTATATCATCTTCGGCTTTACTTGTTGAAGGATCTTTCCAACAATTTAATTTGGTCGTTTCTTTCTACTGGCCCGAGCGAGCTTAATTGAAAAGTCAGTTTGTCATGAAAAAAGGAAAAAATATTATTTCATTATTGCATACAATCGTTATCGTTCGGCTCGTTAATCGTTTGTCATTTGGAGATATTTTTGATTCCTAGCCGTGGAAAAACATGTAAAAATATATTTCCGATAGAATATTTCAAAACAACTCGATTTAGGACTCTAAGCACCCAAAGCATCTTTAGGTGAAGAAAAGTCCGAGGAACCTACATGAAAGTAAAACTTCCGAAAGAACCCTACCCCCCCCCCTCTTCGCTGCCCCACTGATTCGGTGTGAGTTTCGTATAATCATCGATTTAATTCCAAAGTGCGTCAAGTTTGAACCTGCGTTAAGTATGGAGTTTTCACGGTATCTTATCATAATTCTCTTGGTATTCCTTTGGAGTTCTTGTCAGAATTTTATTGGAATTTTGGTCAAAACTTCAACTTTGAATTGCAATTATATTAAATTATGGACGATTTCCTTTGGAATACTCCTTAACTTCTTTTTACGATTCCCATTTAATTCTACTCATACATTTCTTGGAATTCTTCATATAATTTACCAGAATTTTTCCTCGTCAAGCCCATGCAGTTCTTCTCAAAATACCCTTGGAAATAGGGAAAATGACGGCTTCGGCAGGCAGTCACTTTCTTGAAATTGAACATACGCACTACAACATGCTGCTGATTTAGATTTGTAGATAATAGAACAGCTGCCTAACACACAGTTTAAATGAAAAGGTTGCTTAGTCACACTCAACTGAGAAATTTGGAGCGTTGTAAAAGCGTGAAAAAACAGTTTTGGACAATAGGATCGGAATGGATAGAGCAGCAGGCAATAGATGAATGTAACAATCACTGCATATGTGTGCGTTACGTCTTGAACAAATCCATAGAAGCACGAACGAAGCACGAAGAGAATACCTAAATTTCCCTATCTCAATTCTTATCGATTTTCTCTTGAAAATTCTTCCTGTTAGTTCTCGGTCTTAAACAAATTTCCAGCTCATAGAATCTTGTTAATTTTTCAAATACAGTTCTCTTACAATTATGGAACATTTAGAAAGTAAAGATGTAGCTGATTAAATTTCATATAAGAACAAATTGCAAATCATTATGGAAAAAGGCTAGAACGATGAAAACAAGAAGTTCACTTTTCCCATAGTAATTCCCATACAAATCAGGACCTGATTTAGAATCGACTGAGTGGGTTGATGAAAAACGATATTTTGAACTACCCTAGTAGGTAGTATGGTATATTATGAACTTTTTACCTTAAGAAAACATATATTATTTTATAAATATTCAATCTTTTAATTTTGTCGAACCTCTTAACGGAATCCCTTTATGAAGAGCTTTGAGTGGGTTGGTTTATTTCCTTTCCTGTTATAATTGCTTATCTTCTGACAGATACGCGTATTTCGTCTACTACTTGTAGACGTCATCAGTGCCAAGTACCCAACACCACTCAGTGTTGAGTACTTGGCGCTGATGAAGTCTATGAGTAGTAGTAGACGAAATACGCGTATCTGTCAAAAGATAAGCAATTATAACGGAATTAAAAGGAAATAAATCAACAGGCTCAAAAGCTCTTCATAAATATTATATATAGGATTTTAGTGGCAGATATTTTGAATTCATTTTTATCCTAAATATCGGAGGAAGTGCTTCAAAGAACACTAAGTTGAGAATAGGTGAAAGCTCGTTAAAGAGCGTCAAAGCCAGAACGAAAAAGAAGGAAGTTTTACCATACGCAGAGCTTATCAATGATGTATCATCTTACATACGCATTGATGTACCGGTAAATACTATTAAACATTGGATTGGGTTAAGTAATACTTGCGTTGCGTTACGTTGCGTGTGTAACGGAGTAATTCGTAGATTGCATACTGGCATTCTGGCAACTGTCATGTATCAACTTCAACGTTTAACGTGATTGCTTAAGGAAAACTATTTGGGAGTGAATAGTTGTCCAATCAAAGTTCAGAACAAGAAAAGCATGACAATTACCATTGCCGGCCACGCCCATCTTATCCGTTACGGGGAAAGGCAGGGTATTGTTGATGTAACATTGGATTGGGTTAAGTAATAGTAACTAACAAACTACATGCAAGAAATTATCACAAGCGAATAATAACCGAAGCCTGGCGTAAATAGACGGAGGGGAATGCAACGAAACAATATAAACAGTAAATCAGAATTCCCGCGAGAACTAAGCTACTCACCAACAAATAAATCCCCTCCGTCGGCTTTCCTGTTTTCTGTCAAATTACTGTCCTCACCCTCTGTTAGCAGATTCAGCTCATTGATAACTTCATCCGCTTCAGCATCGACGTCATCTGGAGGAGGACGAACAGGAAGCGTGAAAGTAAACGACAATAAGAATTATATTTTAGTAAGCTGTATGCGACAGGTTGCCTGATAGATCTGATTCCTACCATCATTCATAGTAGCTTTGGCTTTTCGCTTTGTCGTCTTCATATCCGTTTCCTCATTCTCGCCGATCTCGTCGGACATGTCATCATCATCGGACATCTCCGAGTCGGCTTGCGTTAGGAATTCGAAATTCGCTATAACGGCAGCTTCCGAGTCCATGATCATTGCTTCGGTCATTGACGAGGGTTGGGATTTCTTCGCCGGTGTCCGACGACCTGCAAAAGGATAACGAGTATAATTAGTGGTGAATGGTAAGCTAAATCGAATATCTTTTGTCATACCTTGTGACTCGCTAGCACGCTTATTGGTTTCGCTACCACCGTTGATGTTTGGATTCACATTCTCCTCCTGTTCGCTATTGTTGTTCAGACCAAGTAACGAGCGAACCCGATTCGAACGGATATCAATGATTGTTTCAGTGTAACCGATTTCTTGTAAATATTGACGCAGCAGTTCCCTGCCTTGCCTCCATGTTATATTGGACACGGAACTGTAGGGTACTTCGGGATCTGAAAGTGAAGGAAAAGGAAAAGATGAATAAGGAGATTTTGCTAGCGATGCTTGGAATAGAACAAAAGGAATTACTCAAACGTTTGATTGCGATCCACTTTGAGAAATTCAATAATCTTGCGACCCACCAATATTGAAGACAGGCATTTGTAAGGCCTCAAAAAACGCCAAGAGCTTTCCCACAAAAAAAAAGCATTAAAACATCAAAACAGCGTGTTAAAACCGTAAAAATGATAAAATTCCAATTTGAACACGCCTAAAATATCTTGAAACCCTTAAAACAATCATGAAAACATCAAAATAACCTTAATAACTTCAAAACGTCCTTTAATCCGGTGGGAACCTTAAAATGCCATACTCAGAAACGTATGAAAAGAATGGAAAAGGAATAAAAAAGTCAAATGGCTTTCAAATTTCTAAAGATCTCTAAAGGCAATTCCCTCTTCTTCTTTTTCTTCTTCTTCGCATTTCAAGCTTATTGCATATGCCATATGAACTAAAAATCACGGCCAACTATCCAGAATTTTTTTTTCTAAAATATACACTGAAGTCTTTTTTTTACACGGTTTTTTTACGCGGTTTTTTTACACGGTTATTTTTACACAAAAATCACAATTTTTGGTGTAAGTACAATTTTTTTTTAAATATGTCATATAGGCATCAAAATCTGATTTTTTTAAAACATTTATACATGTGAAAAATCAAAATCTCGTAGCTTTTTTTTACACGGTACGTATCCCCCGTGTAAAAAAAGACCTGAGTGTATACCGTGAACTATGGTTCACGGCTGTGGTTCACGAATATGGGAACTCTTTTTTCCCGTGTAGCTAAAAACTTCATCGATATCTACTGTCTAAAATCTCTTTAATGTTTGCTTGTTCTATCTTGAGCTTGAGCTTGAGCTTGATTGACCGCCCACGGTTGCTACTCTGTTACTGCCAGATCAGCTGTAATTACACAGAGAACCAATAGACGATGCTTTGGACTAGCAAGCATCCTCAATGTGTAAAAACTGGTGATCTTAAATTAGGCAATACCAGCGCCGGCCGCGCCCGAACACAGGTCAAGAAAGGAATGGGAAGGATTGTGTTGACATGACACTCACTTTGATGGAAGCCGAGAACACATCTGCACTTCCACGAGGAATCACTGGGATGTTGGATAAGAGGGTTGGGTTTGCAGCAGGGTTAGTTTTGGTAAACGATAAGCTGAATTGATGTCCTAACGATCATATAACGCGAAGGAGCTTGGGACTAAACCCACGGTCTTCTGCTCAGTAAGCAAAAACTTTTGCCACTAGGCAGACGAGCACCTTTTTAATCACCGAGTTGCTGTTATTACCATGTAGTCATATTAACAAATAAAACGATTGACGAATCTTGAATGTGGATGGGCCTGAGATTAGACTCATGATGTTCTGCTCAGTAAGCAAAAACGGTTGCTCTAAGGCCACCGAGCCTCTCATATCACATAATACCGTTGCTCAAATTTGTGTATCCATTCAAACCCGGAACCAACGACAACAACGAGTTTCGCAAAATACACGATACACAAGCGATTTTACCATAAATCTCTTTGATATGTAAGGACCTGGGACCGCGTTTTTCTGCTCAGTAAGCAGGCCACTGTAATCGACGATCTTTCAAATCCGAAAATAAAAACTACGAAAAAGTACTTAGGCCTTCATTAAGTTCCACTTTTACGCGACGTTCAATAACAGGGTCCTATCCAGGATTACATCTGAAAAATCCAAATCTGGCCAACGCCCACCTAAACCTGTTCTAATCCACCTGAAATGACTAACGAATGGAAGACTTTGACTACCCAGCCGTGCCTTATGGCAACTTGATGATTCTATTGCGCTCATCTTCTGGCACCACCCAGGGGAGACTTGGTCCTGTACCCAATGCTTAACTTATCTCCATTCCACTCAGTTACTCGCAATTTCTTGTGATATAGTGGGCGGAATATTATTATATGAGAGTCATAATGAGACAATTCAATGCAGACGACTTTCCAAATTTGGCAGATCGACAGGTAATCAGTGAGTTACCACGATAGTTGCTATTCAACAACTTGACAACGTCCCATCGTCAACGCCTGCTATGAGAATTTCCCATTGCAGACGCCAACGAAATGACGTCATCGAGCTATCGATCAACTACCCTGGTTATCGCCTGGTACCTTATAGCACGATGCTAGGAGGCGAACCGGAAGAATCGATGAGCTACCTCTCCCCCTCTAATGTTTGCTTGTTCTATCGACGCTTAAGTATTGTTCACCGGTTTGGAACCCAAACTACAACAACGGTGCCGAGAGAATTGAATCTGTTCAACGTTGCTTTCTTCGTTTTGCGCAACGTAGATTGCCTTGGAATGATCCGTTTCGATTGCCCAGTTACAAAAGTCGTTGTTAACTAATCGACCTAGAAATTTTCTGGACTAGAAGAGACACAAGCAGAGCCTTAATCGTTGGCGATATCCTGCAAGGAAGGACGCTTGCTCCCTAAAGAGCAAGAACAGCAAGTTGGTTGAGTTCCTCAAAGAGCAAAACATCAACATTGCCATAATAACCTTTCGGTTATGGTGGTTTCCCGCCTGAAGCCCATGATAAATGTACACTGAGAAAACTAGAATTAAGATGTTTATAATACGTTTCGTATGAACGAGCATTTTGAACTAAAAAATAATTTCATACGACACGTATGTTTTCCATAGCAGGCTTATACAAATTGCACGTCTCAAGTATGATTTTCATACGAAACGCGTTTGAAGTTCATACGAGACTACAATGACCTTTATTAGTTTACCTTGTGTGAAAAAAATAAAACGATCGTGTGACGTTTGTTCAAAGCAAAACAATATGGCGTACGAACAGCAATTGTTATCGGATCTCAAGGTTCCGGTGGATGCTTTGCCTGTGTTCAGAGGTAAAAAACGCTAAATTCAGTGTAAAAGGATGTTCCGGGTACAAATTAGCATCTATATTACCATTTAATCAATGAATTTCGACTAAAATTACAGTGTAAATACGGCAGCCTTAATTACGTGGACCAAGCAAAAGATATTTCAGGCATTGTCTCGTGCTAATATAAACTAATGTCTTTTTCAATTGATTTATTTTAGCTGCAGGTTAAATCAAATAAACAATGCAAATCAAATTATTTAATTGTTTGTTTTACTAAATTAAATTAATTTCACATGAAAAATAAAACAAAATCTGAAGGAGCATAAATATTCATGATTTCATAGTTGATACGATTATATTCCGTATTACACTCATTCAAAATCCATATGAATGAAATATGATTTTCATAATCATAACGTACTATTTTCATACGACAGCTTTATGAAACTCATATCAATATATAGTGAAAATCATAAACGATAACGAAGGCGTGCGTTCATAATGCTATCGTATGAAATTCCAACCAAATTCTTTTGGTTAAAATCCATAAGCATTTCGTATGAAATTCGAACGAATTATTTCCTCAGTGTATACGTTCTAGATTTCCGGCTCATAAGACTTGATCGAACCAACCCAGGGGAGGAGGTGTTGCCTTCGCATTAAGGAGGAACATCTGCTGTCGGTTGCTGCCGAGTTTCGCACTACAGACCATCGAAGTCGTAGGGGTGGAAGTCTCCACTTCTGTCGGGCCTATTGTCTCAAACAAGTTAATATTATGGATGGGTCGGCAGCAAACCTGTGAAGGGATATCATCAAGCTAACTCGATGACGGGACAACTACAGCATTGGTGGCGAGCTGAAAGCCAAACACCAGCTTAAGGCAACAGTCGACGAAATCAAAACGGCACCATCCTAAACATCTTGAACCGGGACTCTCCCACCCGATTGAGTTGGTCCAGTGTTCACGCTAAAATCAATATCTACAACATTAACATGGCTAACAACATTTCACAACCTGTCCCCTGTGGTGGTGGCTAAAGTGGGTTTCTCCGGGAAACGATTCCAAGCTTCCCGGCGCAACTACCATCGTGTCAACCTGTGATCAATTTCAACACTTTGTCGACCCCGCTGTTGACTATGTTGTCCAACCAGAGACGTTCGAAGACGTTGACCTATGTCTGCGTTCCATCGAGGAGGCGATATCCTGGGCCAGGGATCATCCAGATAGGCGGCAATACTCTGAACCTTGATAGATCTACCAAAGACCTTATTGGACTCCATAGCTCCATTCGCAGGCAGTACAAACGCACTGATCTTGAAGAACAATAGTAACTGTCTAACTAAAATAATTCGGTCCAGGATGGTGAACCTGAGAAACAATGATTTTGCTAGTAAGATCCGCTCTCTTCCAGATTTATGGAAACTCACCAGAATCTTAAAGAATAAGCCAAGGCCCATTCCACCGTGTCCACTGAATCCTCCCGATGATTTGGTGACTCAAAAAGAAAAGTGTAGGTACCACATAGGGTTATTCACATAGCGCATTGTAAGCACATGCACAATCGGAAACACGGGTCGTTTGGTATGTTGTAAAAAATTGTTATTTTAATATTTTACAACAATAACGTGGCAGACCCTGAATATCCCTAATGTTTTGCAATACGCAGCCTAAAAACGTTTTAGAAATCTCTCACACACGTATATTGTGCATTTATGTATAACATATCTGTATGTCGCTGATGAATTGACTTCCAACGCGTCTGATAGCATTGCAAAAGAGCTGTCGAAAATACCAACAATAACAACAATAACAAGTTTAACGTGATGATTTCCTTAAAAGTCGGAAGTCCGACACAATAGCGATGTTGCTCAATATTCTTCAAGTGCTAATATGTATGAGTGGTGAGAATATTTTTGTTATAAGTAATTAATGCACAAATACGCAAAACAAATGACATGAACATTACATATAAGTGTGGATTTGGAGGAATATTTTTTTTTTAATTTTACGAAGGGGGAGGGGTTTGCGTAAAAATTGGTCAAACATATGCTACGTCCAACGACCACATCACATAATCTGTTTATACGGGGAAACATTACAGATTCTGTATACTTTTTATGCAAATCTGTAACAGAACCTAACATTTCCCGGTTGACTGAATCCTATTTTGTTTTAGTGACCATAGGTCAAGTCGTTAGAAAAGAACTTACCTGGAGCTACTTCAGTGCCTATGCCTGGGTCGTCCGACGGGGGCTTAATATCATTCATAGGAGGATCTACGCCGTATTTTAACCGATGGAATTTCGCCCGTTCCTGTTTTAGCGCATATTCCAACATTTTAATACGCCTAATGAGGTCAGATTTGAGAGATTCCTGACCTTTTCGTTCACCTATTAGTACTGCAACTTTTGCCTGAAATGAACAAACAGAAAGCACGTGGTTAAGTTATAGTACGTGGCGAAAGTAATTAAATTGTGTAACACCCGTGAAAAAGATCTATTCGCTCCTGCTCCATTTAAAAAAAAAATTGTTTGGTGTATTGCAATTGAATTTCGACAAAAAATCTCATTTAAATTTAGTTGCTTGGAAACTTAAACGTTGATCTTTTAGTTAGTCGCAAATGTCGACAATTAATTTAACATTTGCAATTTTCTCGAGGATACAAATTAGCTCCAGTAAAGCGGGCTGTATATAAACCAGCTCCCCCACCCTAAACTGTCTAAGTGGTTCTAGAAACGGCCTATAAGATTAGATTTCCTCTACTCAGTCAAAAATATGTTTTAATTTTAATCTTTAAATGTGTGGATACGAATTCAAATTTGAAGTTTATTCTCCTGATGTTCACTTTTGACTCCTATGTTCCCGCGCTGGTGCATTCGGGTGCACATGTAAACATCAAGAACTACATAGGACTTTGAAAGCTGTTCGTCGAGAAAGTACACACATGCAAATAAAACGACAACAATTATCTCTAGTGTACATAATCATACGGTCCTACTTTTTTTATCGAGATTTTACCAACTGTAGTCTTAATAGGCTATTATCCAACCGAGATAATAATGCGACTCTACATATTATACACAATACGGACAGACGATTCGAGCTATGGTGCTTACTAGGTCGCTGTAGCGTTTCAGCTCGTATTGCGATTACATTATCAGGAACATGCGAGATACGATACATTAGATATCAAGAAAAAGTTTTGAACTGTCATATTGAAAGTAATCCGAATTTGATCCCTACAAAAAGAAAAATAATAATGCATTACATAAATTTCAAAATCCCCAAAAGTATATCAGATAAGAAAAAAATATATATGGAACCGTAAATTTCAAACTCCACGTTCAAAAGCAATCCGCTACAAAATGTTGGAAATGAACGAAAAATTCTAAACCGACTTGTAAATGCTAAGTAACAATAAAAAAGGACTACTGAAAATAATTTGAATAAAAATTTCTGTTTCCTTCGCCACCATAATTTTTAAAAATCGCATACTCGGAACTATCTAGAAACGAATATGCAAACATATTAGAAAAAGATTAAAGTTGAACTATGTATTCAAGAACTAAGTAGGTGTTTGTTCTCAACCAGTTTTCAAATTTATTTTATAGATTCGCGCCGAACCCACCATTCTGGTACTACAAATGAGTGCTATACAAATGTAGTAGTACTGGAAATAAGTAGAATAAAAATTAATTACGTTAGTTTAGTAGTAGTAGCAAATTAGGTTTAGAGTTAATTGAATTATTAGAAATAAATTATTCCAAATCGAGCTATCAAAAAAAAAACAGAACTAAAGTGTATCCCAAGGTTATAGATAATAAATCCAAATCCAAGGTTGCAAAGTGTTTCCTTTAAAAAGAAGAAGTGACTCCTAGTGGCGGTTAGGCGAAAACCCAAAAGTTCGGTGCAAGAATCAATTGGAGTGTTTGCCGATGCTCACACCCGCACTCAGCATAGTTACAGTGCACATTGGATTTTCCCGCCGGTTAAATTTTTAACGGAAATCACGAACCTGCTCCAACAGTAGGTATTTAGGCAGGTAATATTTCAATAAAGAAAGGAAGCAAAAATATAAAATATTACAGATTAATTTTTTTAAATAATTAAAAACAAAATCTCAACTACACAGCAATAGTTCAAACTAAAAAAGATTTTTATTCTCAAACATTCTTTCTAATACCACGCTATCCTAATGTTGTGCATATGTTCATAAGCGAACCCCCGCATTCTATTTTCAATATCACGTGATGTGGTAAACCTTTGGGCCCTGAGTTTTAAGACATATTCTAGATAAATTTTGATAAATATTCCAGTTTCTACTTCAGATTTTTTTTGGGTTATTGGACAAGTGTTAGCATTGAAACGTCCAACCAATTTAGAAAATCTACAAGAACATCACAATCAAGTGAAAACTAATGAAGTAAAAAAAAAAAAAAAAAAAGATTGACAACAATTTTGCAATTGTATGCTAATAAACTATAACAAAATTAATTTGAATGAAATTTAATGTAACTCAAATATTTCAAACTAGAAAAGTACTACTTTGATGGTGAGATGCCCTCCGGTTGGAAATTCTGATATTTGGATATCACAACTGTTAAGTCTGCGTGAAGCAGCAGATTTAATAAAGAAAGTTCTATTAAAAACTTAGAATTAATCGATTGAGGCTTACTGAAGTGTTATATATACGTGATATTTTCCACTAAAGAAGATTATAATATTTGCTAATATTATAAGACCGAAACTCCTTCACCTGACGTTACAACAACCCCTATGTCCAGTCTAGCTGGAGGGGATGTATTGTTTCAAAATAGATATGGAAAAAAATTAGAAAGCCAGTGAGTAGTCGTAAACGGAAATCAACGAGACAATTAACAACGATCAAATTAACAAAAACGAATAAATCGTAAACATTATTGTTTGTAGGAATAACCGATTTTAGCACGGTCTCGACTATGGCAACGCAACATGGTATTCGTTTTAAGCAACGCAAAATTATTTAAATGTAATTTTTTTTTTCTAAATGGGCTTTTTTATAGGATGGCTATTGAATTTTAATTTTACCAGGGGTTTTCCCTTAAAATCTCAAATATTTCCCTGTTGGTAATATTCAGCAAGAAACAAAAATGCTCAATGATTACTTCATTGTTCAGTTATCCTTAGTAGCAGAACTAGAGTAAGAATTTTATAATCATGTTTGGATTAAATCAAGCTGAACATTGCATTAGGTTCTAAGTAACATTGATCGATTCTCTTCGTCGACTAAAGGGTGTCCACGATGAAATTGCCACACTATGAAATTGCTCTAACTTTTTAACCGTTGGGTAGAATTTAATGAAAATTTGGGTGGATTTAGTTCATAGTGCATTATTTACATCCTGCAAGTTTTAAAGTCCTGTGATCAAAACTCGCGGAAATGGAGTCGAAAGAACAGCTCGTGCGTGATAAAATCTTGCGCATTCATCACGAGAACAAGGATCTCTCGCATCGTTCCATCGCTAAAACGTTGGGAATCGCGAATTCCACGGTGTCGCGAGTGATTAAGCGGTTCGAGGAACGGTTGACCACCGATCGGAAGCCCAGAAGTGAAAGAAAAAGTATTCCGTACAACACCAAAAATCACAACCGCGTAGTTGGGGCCTTCAACCGAAATCCGAACGCCTCCGTTAGGGATGTGGCTAAGAAGCTGCACCTAAGCCGAAGTTTTGTCCAGAAGGCCAAAACTAAGGCTGGGCTTCGAACGTTCAAGGTACAAAAGGCCCCTAATCGCGACGAGAAGCAGAACAAGTCCGCCAAAACCCGTGCCAGGAAGTTGTACCTCAACATGCTGACGAAAGTTGAATGCTGCATCATGGACGACGAAACATATGTGAAAGCCGACTTCAAACAGATCCCCGGCAACCTGTTTTTCACGGCCAAGGATAAGTTCAGCGTTCCGGAGCATGTCCACACTCAGAAGATGTCCAAATTTGCGAAGAAATTCCTGGTTTGGCAAGCCATCTGCACGTGCGGGAAGCGGAGTGCACCTTTCGTGACCCAGGACACGATGAACGGACAGGTGTACATAAAAGAGTGCCCCCAGAAGCGGCTGCTTCCTCTCCTGAAGGCCCACAACGTCCCAACAATCTTCTGGCCGGATTTGGCCTCATGCCACTACTCCAAGGACGTGCTGAAGTGGTATGCGGACAATAAGGTCAATTTCGTGCCGAAAATGTTCAACCCTCCCAACACTCCGGAGCTCCGCCCCATCGAGAAGTACTGGGCGATTATGAAGCAGCACCTTCTTAGACGACCTAAGGTAGTGAAGACTGTCGAGGAACTGAAGAAAGTATGGGTTTACATGCAAAAAACGGTTGATTCACAGGTTGTGCAGAATCTTATGGCCGGGGTTAAGGCCAAGGTGCGGGCATTTGCGTATGGACTGTAAATAAAATACGAGTAAAATGGTAAAATGAAGTTTAATAGTTATTTCTCAATCCCTGAAAATTTGATGGCAATCGGATGAAAACTCGAATTTTGCGAATCAATTTTGTGTGTGGCAATTTCATCGTGGACACCCTTTATCTCTTTCGTTAATAACTTGAGCACATAACCGTTTTTCGTATTAGATGCTTCTAAAAGCTTCTTTTATCGATCTGTATGCTGAAAATACCTGGGAATGTCTTTACATGACCGTGGCGATACAAAGAGAAAGTCGACGAAGAGAATCTGTCAATGTTACTTAGGACCTAATTCAAGGTTCAGCTTGAAATATACACGTTGTACATTCATCCCACAATTAGATCAGATAATAATAATCACGAATCAGTCAGTTCAGCTAGTTAGTCATCTGGAAGGGAACCTTAACTGTGGACTGATTGAATAAAAGATGCAAAAAGTAAATGTTGGTTTCGAGATACTTAGAAAAACCAATTTATATCACTTGTTCAACCTCGGCACATGTCTACAAAGCCCTTGTATTTATTGATGTTTTTTCTTTCCTCTTTTCGAGACATAAATCCACTGCGATCATAGATTTGATCTATTGTGGTATACCCCGTGTCTTTAGTGTAGTGTATGTCGTATGCACTGTTGAGAAATGATGAAGTAGTCGGTTTGCTTCATTAGACTGGCCACAAAAATAAAAGTTAAGATTTGTGCCTTTAAGTGAGAAAACCATTCTCTGAAAGTTTTAGCTCATTTGGTTGTAGGATGAGCTGGCGCTTTTAGATTGAATTTTGTATGGGGAATTTGCATAAAATACAAGAAAAAAGGACACTCCTACACTCTATCGATCATAAAAAAGTTTCCGTATTCTCGATTTGATTCATATGTTCAAAACTTGTAGTTCAGTTCATGTGTAACAACTTTGCTGAAGATTGCATCATAAATTTAGTTAGTTTTATTGAGATATTCGCTTTTGAAAGTAT